TTATGTTGCCGAAATTTCATTTTATGATATCAGACTTTAAAACTGCTGTGATAACAAAGTCTCATGTAAGATGGCTTGTTCCCTTTTAGTTCATCTAAACGGAAAAATGTGCCACAAAACAAAAATTTCATGGAAATTTTTTTCACATTAGTTGAAAGATTTTAACAGTGGGTGAAAATGACTGCATTCAAAATAACCACCAAGTTAAAACATTAAAATTATGCTGGGCGAGAAATAAAAACAAAAAAAGTTAACATAATCGAAAATATTGAGAAAAATGACAAAAAAAAACGTTGGATATTTGAACTGATTTGAAAACTGCTAAGAGCGGTTTTTAATTTTCTACATCAGTCAACGACTAGTAAAAGCATAAAACAAAAGCATCTTGTGATGTGATAAAAATTTTCGGTTTTGATTGGAAAACTCTTTATAATTTTGAAAATTTTGTATATCTGCATGTTACTCATTCGATTTTTAAAATATCAGTAGAAATACCAGCCCAAAAATTTGAAAGAAAATTATTCATATCACTTAATAGGCAAAAAGAGGAGAAAATCAAAATATAATCTGTCTGTAAGTTGTATTAAGTCTCAAAAAAAGCTGGCTAACATCTGTCTTTAATCTGAATACAATGTGTACAATTTGTATTTTTTGTGGAAAATCTAAATGAAACTATACAACCTGTGTAAGATCTGTATATAGTTAGAAGAAAAATTGATACCAAAAACAAACAATTTTTTGTGTGATTTGATATTATCTATATAATGAAAATGTACGGTTTCTGCCAAATCTGAGGTTAATGGTTCAATCAAAATAGCTGGTTGTGAAATTTTCTCGTAGCTTGAGCCAATACGCCGTATTTTTTGTGAAGCCAGCCCTCAATTTTAAAATTTTTGCTCATTTTTCTCAAAAACAACCATGTCAAATCTTGAGATGAAAGATTCCGTTAAAGATATTGTCCCTGAAGAAAAAGCGGCACCGCCTTAGCTTTTGTAGGAAATTCGATTAGCCTTTACGCAAAAAAAAAATTTTTTGGAAAGCTTTATTGTTTTCAAAAATTGCAGTTTTTCTAAAACGCCAAATCTGAGACTTAGAGTTTCATCTAACAACCGGTTAAAAGATTTTTACCAGCATAAATGAATTCAATTTTACCAACAGATTCAGTTCAAATAAAAATGGTGGGTTTTCCCTGCAGATGCAGTTAAACAATAATTTTTCTGGAAAAAATGTTAAGAATGGAAGAAAAGTCAAAGTTTTGACATTTCGAGCGCCTTTTGGAATTTTTTCTTCACTGAAAAACTGCCCCTCCAGTTATGAGAAATTTTTTAGAAGAAAAGTTTTAAACAAATGTTGTCGATATATAAACACTTCCATCCCACTTTTTATGGAAAAGCCGGTATGGCTTTTGAAACAATTTTGTAAACACGATAAAAATTTCGAAAAAAAGAACTTTTCTTCTTTTCATGAAAACTACTCGGTCTAATCGGACCATGAACTCAACGGTTAGTGGATATCTTCCCTACATAAGCGGCTGATCCCTAATTTTGCACAGAAACCACCAATGATTTTTTAAAAACTTCACCAAAGTTTTCAAAAAATCATGGAGCAACGATGGAAAATCAATGAAATATTGTTGATTCATAGCTGATTCATCCCCGACCACAATGGTATTTTCCATCGCTTAATCCTTAATGTGCCAGCAATCCGCCAATAATATTATTTGGAATGTTGTTGCTAAATATTTTATTAAGGACTCGCGTAATTTCAGCGTAGTTACTTCATGCAATCTCGCTGGTGCATCACCTATTTGCAACAATACACTGCAAAAATGGCGCATTCCTGGAGTGCAATGAAAGATAAACCCGTGATACGGTAAACTTTGCAGACACGAATTTTGCGTGTTGTTTGAAACCAGCTTTGCAATCCATGATTCGAGGTTTTTCGAAGAAAAAAAGGCAGTTTTTTTTAAATATTTTTTTTTATTGTTCTAAGTATCGGCTATGGAAGAAATGAATAAATGTTGAGCTCTCCCGATCTTTAAACTTATCAGATTGACATCAATTATTGAAATCTAATATGCACATGAACAAAAAAAATTTCAGTAGAAAACTTTAATTTCAAGTGATTTTTTGTTCCGCTGAAAAGGTTATCAAATGAAACAGGTTTCTGAAATTAAGTTCAGTTAATGTCGTTTCACGTCGCTTGAAATTTAGCAATTTTAAAAGCATAGCTTAACTTTTAATAGGCTTCCGAAATGGTTTGAAATGAACTAAAAAGAATTGCATGTCAAAGCAGAAGCGGGCCCATTAATTTATTAGGGGGCAGACAAAAAATGGTACACGAAGACCTATTTTGACCCCCAAGTCTTGTTTTTCCCCTCGTGTGCGCTCCGTCACTCAAAACAAGCATTTGTTGGCGCCAAATGTGCTTTTAAAAAATTTAGGGTCGTCCGCCCAAAATGGATATTGTAAAATAGTACCAACGGGGGACCGTACTTTCGAGTGGAAAGGGGGTCACATGATCTCTGAGAGCGTTCCACTCAAATCCTTCTATTTTCCCCTAAATCTGCCTCTTTGGTTCAAATCAAGAAAGAATTAATTTCAACGTACAAACTAAAAGGTTGAAAAGAAACATAAAGAAATGTTGATAGGTGATGTAAATTTGATCTAAATAATAATATCAAAATGATTTCAAAATAATATCATGCGAAAATTAAAAACTCAAAACTAAATTAAGGATGCAAGAAATTGTTTTTCAGTATGTGTTTTATTGCGTATTTTCGAGAGCCATAGTATGGTCAAACTAAAAGAAACTCAAAAAAGGTAATGGAATCAGACGCATATCGATTGCTTATTTCAATTTTGGTTTAAAGGTGTTGAAACGCGAAACTTTCCAACATTTTAAATTTTTCTAATTGAGAAAACAGTCAATTCAGTTATGGTTCAGACAGTTATAAATGGGTAGAAACTTTGTATTCGGGTGTGTTCTAGTTTTTTTTCTTTTTTTCCACGCAAAATCAGCTACCACCAGTAACTGATTTATGGGGGGGGGGGGGGGGGGGGCGGACGCGCCCTCTAAGGGATTCGACATCCTGCCGACCCAAAGGGTCCCCCTTTGTACTATTTAGAGATATCCATTTTTGGCTGGCTGAAATTTTTCTAAAGGCGCCCTCGGCGCCAATCTCTACTAATTTTGAGATAGTCGAGAAGTTCCTAGAACCGCGCCTGGCTACCACAAATAAGCATCGGACTGGGTTGAGTGATATATCATATTAAAGCCCTTTCAGTCAAGATTCAAACCACATTAGAAAATTCCAAACATTTTTTCTAGTGTCGATAAACTCCGGTTTCAAATTTTTGATTTTTCGTCTTAATTCGAGCGAATAAAGCAAGAAAGCAGGCTTACAACAGATGGAGTATGCTTTATTCAAGACCTTTAATTTAAAGCAAAACTAGATTTGGAGTTTTTAGCTTCATTTTGGGAACCAAAATCTTCAAAAAATTCAAAAATTTTATGCAAAAAATTTTTGTTCGATTTTTTTTTTAGTTTTTCCAGTCATTTCTCTACAACAGTTTTTGCCCAATTTGCCTATATTTCTATGATTGCTAATATGCCTAATTTATATTTTTGAGTCCGATATTTTTTTTATCACACCAGGCAGAAAAAGTTACACTAATTTGGAAAAAAAAACTTTCTAAACGGTAGTTTTCTAAAGACTATGGTCGGAACATTCTGTGCTACTTGCACAGTAACTGGCTATCCTTGTTTACAATTCGTTTTTTTTTAATGTCGCCAGTTTTTTTTCTCGTACATCAGTTAAAAACGATTGCCCCTTAAAGCTGTTTTTTTTAGTTTGAGCTTATATCAACAAAATCTTTCAAACGGCATAAAACAATAATTAAAAAGTTTTAAATAATCAAAACGTTTTAACGTTGTAATTAAAAGAAAATTAAAAATTCGAAGTCTCCGCACGTTCTTTGAAAGTCGGAGCAATAATTATGAGCAAACATTGGTCACTAAATGATGCGATTTCAAAATTAAAAGAATCCGAAATAGCATCAGCCTGTGAAATGGCATCTTTATGGGCATATCTACTTGCATCTTTCTGTTATATTACCATGAGACAGAAAATACTAGAAGTCTTCTAAGATTACTTTTCATATAAAGTTGCGAACTGTCCAATTGATGCAAAATTACTTCAAAATGTCCAAAAAGTCTATAAAACCGCTGTTGATGTTTTTTTCTTCATTAAAGCTGTCTAATTTTTGTTCTGATTAAAAACATTTAATCAAAAATAGTTGAAGACAAAAAGCTATGTGTACCTTATCAAAAGTGAAAATCTATTTATTCAGAAGTGTCAAATTCCGGTACAAGTCAAACTTCAGTTTTTTACGGTAATTCGAAACTTTTCATTTTCATGCCATTCATTTTTATATCCTAGTAACTCATCTACTACATGCATTTTAAGTGAACTAGATGTGATAGATAAATTTTGATATGAATTTTGCTCATTGAGACTTTATTCATAAAGAAAGTAAAATTTTGATATAAAAAGAGACGTTTTTTATCGGAGGCAAAAATTTTATTAAATCGTGACCGAAATGATTCATCCAACTTTTCTTTTGATGTAATAATAAGATTTTTTGAAAATTGCGGGCAATTATTTGTAAGCTTTTGAATTGGCGACCTTCCCAGTTTAATTTATTTACGGGTATGAAAATGGCAAACGAAGCACGAAAATGTTTTCTTTTTATCCTCGTTTTTAAGTTTTTGAAAGGAAATTTCAATTGCTCAGTGGAGATATATTTACTAATTGTAAGCACTCAGGGCTAGGTTATAGAAATAACAGAAAAAAGATTTTTTTTTGCATTTATTTGAAAAGAACCGGAAAAGAGAGTAATTTCACTTGAATTTTTTCGCTTCCTCTTTCTGCTAAATCAGTCGTAAACTATGGAAAATCAAACTGACGTCAATACTTGATGATTTGCTTTCAGACGAGACTACATTTATAAATAATACTTCTGATTTTAGTGACAGTTATTGACTTTCATTAATTCTCGCATCATTAATTAGCGAAAACAGGAATGATTTCATCGCTCCTTATTATTCTCTAAGGAAATATTCATCAATTATTGGCTATCAAATTTCGCGTTTTCTGCAAAAATTGTCTTATTTGCAGATTTTATTCAGTCACTGGATTATAACATGGCAGAAGCTGAAAAATCTAAATTTCGAACTCTGGTTTCAAAGCGACCCCGCAGTTTTCTTGTCAAGTTTGGATCTTCTATTAACAAAAAACTATCGAAAGACACAGAAACAAATGAAGATGAACAATTGCCAAACAACAATTTGAAACTCGACGTTTTTAACGCCGTTCAAGATGAATTAGTTCACAAAACTGATTTAATCAACGATGGTTCCAAAAACGGTTCAGCCAGTTTTGACGTACAAAGCACTAGTAAGTCCAAGAAAAACAATTTCAAGTTCAGTTTTTTCAAATCTGCTTTCAATATTAGAAAAACGAAAGAAACTTCTGATTCGGGTTATTCATCATCAACTTTACCTGTCAAAATAAGGCACAAAACAGGTGTAGATTATGGAGTCCAAACTATTTCTGTCGGCACATCGCCCGTTAGAATTCCCAATTCGCCTAAAAGTCTAGCCAAAAAAAGACTCAGCTCTTCTGAAGGTCAATTGAGCGAAGAATTCTTTACCGAATACCCGGAAATAATTGAAACATGCGAAGACGATGTTGAGAACGATGATGACTTCAAACCCAATCTCGGTAAAGTTTCGGCTAGTTACACTCCAAAAGTGATTATAAGCGGAAAAACTTTTTTAGAATCAAGTGAGACCCCACATTTAGACGAAAAGAATCGAAAGCAGTCTAACGGAAGCGAGGCAAAAAAATTGGATGAAAAACAGGATAGAAATTTAGGGAAAATTGAAAACCTCGAAAAAAGAAAATGTGACGAAATTCTGTTAAAGACAGCTCAGGAACAAACCAAAGAACTTCTGGATTATGCCGCAGAAATTAAGTACAGCAAAAACCATCCTGACATCAAGTAAGTCATACACAGTTAGTTTATCAAGGTAAACCGCGAGAATAATGAAGATTTCATGCGCAAAAAGTTTCTTGTTAAAAGCTTCAATACCTCTATTTTGATATATTTATTTAAAAAAACAAGAAAAAAAAGAAATCACATATTTTGCAAACTGATTTTTAGAAAAGTTACAAAAACTTTAAAGTTAAAGCCGTTTTTCAATGACAAAAAGCATACAAACTGTCCAGTTCCTTACGCCAAAACAATTGAAATTCAACTGCTTCAGAAATAATTGCAACTTTTTATTGATTTTTTTTTTGCTGAAAATTGATCCGCAGACAGCCAGCACGGATCATGGTGAGTATATCAATCGACCGATCTTTCGACTGATAGGCGGAGCCCTCATCAATTTTGCAATCGCTCTTATTTACGCTTATATGATGTGTAGACTAGTTGTGGGCATAAGCTACTCCTTTTGTCTATCTCGTCGAATTTTGAGCTATTTCTAAGGAACAAATTTTAAAATACAATCAATTGTTATCAATAATTGTTATAAATGTTATTGGTAAAATATATTCTTCTTCTTTTTACACAATAATTTTAGGAGGATTGACTCTCCTTGGGGATATCTGCCATGCATGAAGAGCGAGACTCTTTCGGACATCGAATCAGTTCCGACGGACTCCGAACGTCCGAACTGCAAAAAGATTTCGACTTCACGTGAAAATAATACATCTCGTAGAAAAACAACAAACACTGCTGTTTGTCGAGAGCAATCGCCTCTAGCTAATACAGCGAACGATAATGTCGGCAATTCTTCATCGGATCCGAAGAAAGTACCCCCAGGAACTCCTGGGTTCGGGTCCCGACTCAGCCCAACCACGCGTCGCAAATCATTTCGAAACAGTAAAAAATGGCGAAAAGTTCAGCAAAGTGAGAGTAATTCTCTTGAAAACGAAAAGAATGTAGCTTTGAATTATCTGTCGCAGAACAATGCAGCTTCTGGATCTCAGCATCAGCCAAAATCAACAACTACCATGGCTTCGTTGTTTGTTCGGCCGGTCGAAAAACCCGACGATTCGAACGATTTGACAGTCGAAAGCTGTTGGAATCAACGAAGCGCGTCTGCGAGACAGAAAAAACGATCGTCGGCAAGCCCGAATTCGTCTAATTTGAGCTCGGGTCGAAATTCGATATGGAACAGCCAATCAGATAAATTGATGTCATTAGCGCCTCCGCCGATGCAGTATAATAGAGGCGGCGGGTCGTTCCGAAGAGGCTCGTCGATTCGGGGACGTCGAAAAGATTACGGGAGTGACCCGAATAGTCGCTATTCGTCTCGGCAAAACTCAACGACTCAGTGTAGTTTCGACCATAACAGCTTCGAAGATCCCGAAACGGGAAGAGGGAGAGCCACCGTATTCGAAAAGTGGACGAGTGACTTGAAAAAAGCATTCGTGCGTGGAAAACCGACAATAGACTCGACCACCGCTAACTCACAGATTAGCCAAGACAGTTCAAGTTCGATGAAGGCTTTTCAGAGATACATTTTAAAGGCGACTTCACTGTCAGGTAAATTTACATAGAATGTAATTAATATAGTGTGCGCTTTTTGTTCATGACAATGCCCAAAAATACCCGAAAGTTAAGTTTTCAGCAATGTTTTCGAGGGCATTTTCCAGGTAATTGATTTTTAAAATCTGTTTTTAAGGCCAAAATGTTGGCAATATCTATGACCTTGATCATCTCTTTGGTTCGAAAAAAAAACAATGTTTAGGTTCATTAAAACTCTTGCACTTCATACAGCGCTGATTTAAATTATCTGGACCGAGACAAGGTGTGAAAACTAAGAACTCTTTTAATATTAACACTTAATTTACACTCTGTTCAAAATTTACATAAAATTTTTAAACTAATTAACAAAAAATGATAAAATTTAACAAAAATTAACGAATTTAGTATTTGGTCTGATAACCATTATTTTTTAGAACTGCATTTTTTCTACGAGGAACGCTCCGACATAACCGATGAATGTACTCGTCCGGAATTGCCAAAAATGTTTCGAAGACTTGACGAATAAGTTCTTTAACTGTTGCAGGGTGTTTTTCACGAATCTTCTGTTTCAAGTAATTTGGAACCTGATCTAAACTACATTTTATGATTGGATAAATTAAATGTTTTACCAATGTAAAGTATTTAATATTAACCAATCATGATCCATCTAACTAACAACCCACTTATTTGTAAGTGCTGAAGTTACTTGTAATTTCAGCACCAGAGAGATTTGAATTTAACTTAGAAATTAGTTGGACTCTCCCGAGCACTTCAGCAGCCGCAATAAACCAGTATACCCTAGATCTATTGAGCCTAGCAGAGACTAGTTAAACAACCTGAGACTAGATAGTATAAGAGTAAGATTAGGATCGGTATTAGACTAAGAAGTTGCACGAATCTATCCGGCCGAAAATAAGATAGCGTGACGAGCATACGGTGTACCCTATCCGAAATTACTCTATGAGTTACACTTCGGTCCTAACTCATCTGGTGCGACCATAAGTCTCGAACAAGACCTTAATAGATTAGAATTAACCAAAATAGATTAGAAATTAGACAAAAACATTTACAAAAATGTTATACGACAATAATTTAATCGAAATGTCTCTACGACTCAATAGATCAGAGCCAATATTCCGAACCATAACAGAACTACCCGGAATTGGAAGAAGACCTCGAACCAAAGACGACATACGACAAAGTAGAAACTTGCCGTATAGTTATATGATAGTTCGGCAAAAGCCAGAACAAACTTTTATATTTCGAATACTACTTGCAATGAATTTAGATTTCCATTTGCAAACATAAAACCTTGAAGTTACTCTTCAAAATCATTTCAGGCGCTAAACAAATTTATTAATATACAATAACGATTGATAAAAAGATCTAAGATCGTTTTCCTAAAACTCTGCAGTATTATACAAAAAATGTTTGAAAAATATTTATTGGAAAATAAAAATAAAAATTAGTAGCATGACAATAAATGGTTAGTAATCATAAATCATCCTGTTGTTCCAGCTTCATCATCTAAAACATAACAGCAATCATAAACCCACTAATATCATCAAAACACTAAATCTTTCCTTTACACATATTTAAAATTTTATTAAAACTTAAATTCACTTAATTTTAAACCCAGATCATCAAGGCTTATCCTTGGATCTTAAATCATTTTCTACTTAATTAAATTTCAAATTTGATCATCAAGGCTTATCCTTGGATCAAACAGAACAACTTTGTTCTCCCCCACCCACTTAATTAGTGTCTAACGACCTCAAACGTCGATTCACTACCCAACCCTTTCTAAAGACCCAAGACTAATAGAAATTTTTTAAACAAAACTAATCATTCAAATTAGGATAAACAGTGAAGAACTTCGGTTATTCATCCTTCACTTGACCCCCCCTCTTACCAGACCCAGGATAAATCTTAGACTTAGTAAGTTTAAAATAGTATCTAACGAACTACTCGCGTTCTAATTATACCTGAACCTTGTGGATCGATTTACTATTCTCCAACCCTTGAACACAATCACTACCCCTAAGTAAGATTAAGTAAGTTAACACCTTAACTTATACTAGCCACGAGAAAGTAAAAAATCATTCTCCGGAATCGATATACTTTTCTCTCCAACCCTGAACAAACAGACCCAGGTTAAGCTAACCAAAAAATCGTAAGAACTAACAGTTTAGGAAAATAGAAATCATTTAACAACCCTTTGCATCCGTCATTCTAAACCTTATGTCATTTAAAAACCTAGGAAATAAACAAACAATCGTTTTACACAATTGTGAAATAGATAACAAAAAATACGACCTTGTAATCACACCTCATACACAAACAGTTGGATACATTCGAACAAAACGACAAACACTAAAAAGAAAAATAATAACGAAACAAAGACAAATAACACGAAAAAGATTTTCAAAAAATCGAAACGCATTTTCAGAATCAGAAACCAACAGTTTAGACGAACTTTACAAACTAAAAGAATCAATAGATAAAAATTGCCCAATTCACGATCAATTATATTTCTCTGACTCAGAAACAACTTCAAATTCATCACAAAGAGGAAAAAGAAGAATAAAAAAGCAGTACAAACACAAACCAGTACATTTATACAATTGGAATCAACCAATTCGACACATTAATAATTACATATTAACAGTAATCGAACGAAAAAATGAGTTCAACGCACACCCCAGGTGAAGAAACTCCAGATGATGATGAAATCTTTCCTTTTATAGTAGACGCAGATACTGATAGAGGACAACACATATTTTGTCAAAATTTACTCGTAAATTTATTTGAACCCGGAATCAGTCCATGTAAAACAGAGTTCCCCGATGTAAAAATCAAAAGACAAATCATAGATCACTATCTAAAAGATATATGCAACATAACACAACAGTATGGAATCTACTCCATAGAATTCACCTCACCAAACCATAATAATAGAAAATATACAATTCAAACAGACGATCTTGATTTAGAATTTTCAAAAGTTTTTTCAGAATATATAAAAAGCATCCAATACCATAACTCACAAAGAGCAAACTCCATATTCACCAATGAAGTTTTCGCAATAATATATAGTTATATTTCGATATTAGAAAACGAAATCCCAATAACAAATGTCTCACCGACAGAAACATCTAAACATTTAAGAGTACGACATGAAATCACACTACTCTCTAGTTATTTAAACATCATTAAAGAAAATTTCACGAAAGACGACGTTTCACAACATACAAAACACGATCTACAAAAAATTTTGGCATGGTTCATAATAGATTATTTCACACACAATATTGATTTAATTGCACAAGCAAGAAAAAATTTTAGACCCCAAAATTCGAACGATGATACCGCTATCACAGAACAATCAGATTATGTTTGGGACCCCGAATGGTCTCATCCCGCATTTATAAGCTTTCCACAATCAATCTCAAGTCAAGCAATAGGTACAATATCTTACATAAGAGATTATGTAAGAGTAATACCATTAACAATTGATGCAACACCATTAAACTATAATACATTTTTACCCGATACACAAAATAATAGTTTAAACTCTACAGTTATACACAATGAAAACCTCAATGGAACTAGGAATCTTACTCAACAAGATATCCAGACACCATCACACTTCATAAATGAAGAAATTGTACACACAACAACTACACAACAAAGTATTTCACCAATACGCCCAAATTTAACAACACCAAGAAATACAAATCCTTCACAAACACAGGTAACCTTACAATCAACCGTTAAACCTTCGGTTGCCCCTAAATATTCACATATGGATTACCAAACATACAGACCCATGGCAATACCACCAAAAACACGCAAAACATTCACTAGAAACAACTTTGCAGACCATAATTATAATTATACACATCCATCAAAAACATATAATCAACCACAAAGAAATTTTAACCAATATACAAGATCTCGAAATTGGGATAACCCAATGGCCCAACCTAATTCAACAAATTTCCAAACAAATCCTCCACGGGATCACAGTGAAAATTACCCATTTTTTCAACAAAATAAAAATAAAAAACAGACATCTTATCAAATGGATTATTTATCCTCAGATGATGATTTCTTACAACCAGATATATTTGCACAAAATACTCAAGAATATCGTAGACAAGGAATACAGAAAACACGTACAAATCATAGAAATTTTTCTCCACAACCAATAGATGCACAACATCAACAACCAATTCAACAACAAAATCTAATTAATACACAATCCTTTCAACCAATTCAACAACAAAATCCAATGACTGCACACTCGTATCAAGCATCACAAATGCAAAATGAAATACCACTCCCATATTATCTCCAACAACATGAAATAACAAGAAACCAACTTTCAAATTTTTCTCAAATGCCAAATGCAGCAGAATCATTACAAATGACAATGAATCCATACCTTATGGGTGGATCATCAATAACATCAAACAAACCTTTAATGGTTTTCACAGGAACAGACCCTGAATACTCTGTAGAAGATTATTTAAATGCAGTAACAGCAAACCTGATTTTAAATATTGGACCTGAACCAATTAATACGCCACTACATCAAAATTGGATACATCGACGCACAGCGTTAATACAAACAACCTTAGATGGCGCAGCCCAAAAATGGTTTTCAGTACTACCTCTAGAAATAAAATCAAACTGGAAAAGATTTACACAAGAATTTTCAAAAATGTTTGACTCCGAAAGAAACAAACAACAACAAAGAGTTTTATGTAATGAAATTCGCAGATTACCAAACGAAACCATCAAGCAAATAGCAGTACGAATCGAAACACTAGTTCGAAAAGCATATTCATTAAATACACATGACTATAAAAACACAAAGATGACAGAAATCTTAATGATGACCTTAACACCACAATTAAGGAAAATAGCAATAAAAAAGAGAGCATCACATCCTTCTTCAATTCGAGAACCCGATTTAGATTTTCGAAAACTAGTAGACAAATTAGAACAAGCAG